CGGTTCTCAAAGTATCTTAAGGGTCTGAAGCCGCACATAAAGTCTTTGAGTAAGGATAAATTAGGTTCTTTTGCTAAGAAGGTTAAAGAAGCTTATTCTGATATTTGTGATAAGCAAGGGAAGTTAATGGATAATCCTACGCATGATAATATTCTTGCTGAGTGTGCTGCAGTTGAACGATGGCAAAGGATATCTAACATTGAAGAAACTATTTTGAAATAGAGATCCAAACTTCATTGGTTGCAAGTAGGAGACAAGAATAATAAAACTTTTCACAACGTAGCTAAGGTTAGAGAGACTAGAAACCTTATTCGGGAAATCAAATGTCATGGAGGGGATTATGTTACTAACCAAAATGAGATAAAAAAGAGGCAGAGAGATTCTTCAAAGACTTTCTCACTTTTGAGCCTGCTGGTATACATGAAATATATGTGGAGGAGCTTCAGAATATCCTTCATTTCCGTTGTTCAGAAGGGGAGAGGTCACCATTAATAAAAAGGGTTACTGAAGAAGAAGTCCGAGATGTAATTTTTAAGATGCCAAGTGATAAATCTCCAGGGCCAGATGGGTTTACTGTGGAATTCTTCAAAGCTGCTTGGTCTACTATTGGTAAAGATTTTACTATTGCAGTTCAAAGTTTCTTTAGTAAGGGTTTTCTTCCTAAGGGTCTTAATGCTACTATCTTGGCTCTCATACCTAAGAAAGATTCTGCAATGGAGATGGAGGACTATAGGCAATTTCATGTTGCAATGTTCTTTATAAAGTAATATCAAAGATCATTTCTAATAGGCTGAAAGTGACTCTTCCTCGGTGTATAAAGTATAATCAGTCTGCGTTTATGAAGGATAGATTGTTAGTGGAGAACTTGTTACTTGCGACTGAAGTGGTTAAGGATTATCACAAGGTGGATATATATCTCTCCACGCTGTACTATGAAGATCGATATTGCTAAGGCTTTCGACTCAGTCCATTGGCCTTTTCTCCTGAACACTCTAAAGGCTTTGAACATTCCTGATGAATTTATTCATTGGGTTAAATTGTGTGTGTGTACTGCATCTATTTCAGTTCAAGTCAATGGAGAATTAGTAGGATTTTTCCAGATGAAAAAAAAGAGGCTTACGACAAGGTTGTGCGTTATCTCCCTACCTTTTTGTTATTTGTATCAATGTTTTGTCTCACATGCTAGACAAGGCGGTGGAAAAGAAGCTGGTTGGGTATCATCCTAGATGCAAGAACGTGTTATTGTCTCATCTATGCTTTGCTGATGACTTATTAGTTTTCACTGATGGCACTAAACGTTCTATTAAAGGAGTTCTCACGGTTTTTAAAGAGTTTGAAGCTTGTTATGGACTTAAGATAAGTCTGGAAAATCCACTTTATATACTGCAGAGATTTCTGAAGTGATTGGGAAGGACATTCTTACTACGTTTCCTTTCTCTTCTGGTAAGCTCACAGTTAGATATTTAGGGTTACCTCATATCACAAAGAGGATGAGTGTAAATGATTATCTACCTTTGGTTGAGAAAATCCGAAAAAGAATGAGTTCCTGAACTGGCAGGCTTCTTTCTCATGCAGGAAGGCTTCAACTTATTCGTTCTGTCATCATGAGTTTTGCTAATTTCTAGATGGCGGCTTTCCGGTTACCTAGGAGTTGTTTGAAAGAGATTGAAAGTCTTTGTTCTGCTTTCCTTTGGTCAGGCCCTGATTTAAAAACTACAAAAGCAAAGGTTGCGTGGAAGGATGTGTGTTTACCAAAGGCTGAAGGTGGTTTCGGGCTAAGGCCTTTAAAGGAAATCAATACTGTCTATTGTCTCAAGCTCATATGGCGAATTTCTTCGGAGTCTTCATTATGGGTTAGATGGATCCATTGTTATTTGATAAGGAAAAGCTCCTTTTGGTTGATAAAGGAGACTGCTCAATCTGGATCTTCGGTCTGGAGAAAATTACTCAAATTCAGACATCTTGCTAAACAGTTTCTTAGGAAGGAGGTTAAGAATGGTAAGACGACTTCTTTCTGGTATGACATTTGGTCCCGGTTTGGTATTCTTAAGGAGACTTTAGGTGGAAGAGGTTTTTTTGATCTTGGTTCTCAGAAAATGCAACGGTCAATGATGCTTTACATAAGAGAAGAAGGCGTGATCATAGAGTTGTTCTACTCAACGAGATGGAGGAGGAGTTAAAAGAAGTTGAAAGATTCTTGTGATGAAGATATTGTTCTTTGGAAATATGCTGATGGTAAATATATGAGGAAATTCTCTACTAAGAGCACCTGAGAACAATTATGAGATTCTAAGCAGGTTTGTCAATGGAGCAAAGGAATTTGGTTTCCTCAATCAACTCCTAAATACTCTTTTATTATGTGGATAATCTTGCGTGGACGACTTCAGACTGCTGATAAAATGCAACAATGGAATTCCTCTATTGATACAACTTGTGTTCTCTGTAATGAAGGGTGTGAGACAAGTTCCCATCTCTTTTTTGGCTGTCGTTTCTCTGGTCAGATATGGAAGAATCTTGCTGAGGGGCTCAAGAAGGATGCGTTTAGTGTTGTTTGGAGTGAGCTGATTGACATAGTCTTAAAGTCTTGGTTTGGTCCGATATAGACTTACTTGTTGAGATATGCATTGCAGGCGGTAGTGCACACTATTTGGTGGGAGAGGAATTCTTGCAGACATGGGGAGAAGCCTAGAGATATTAGTGAGTTAACTAAGTTGGTGGATAAGAATATTGGACTCAAGCTTTTGTCTATTAGAGGAGAAGGAAAGTATGAAGAGGGGCTGATAACTTGGTTCGGGAAAGATAGTAGCTGATTGTTGATTTTGATTTTGTTCTTGCGTCTGTTTGTAGGACACACATGGGCAATGGTTATGCTTAACACTCCCCTGATCTTAGTATTTTTACTCTTTTTCCTTATTAAATGTTTGTCCCATTTTGGGTTTACTTTAATAAGGTTTTAATGAGAAAAATACTATGATCCTTCCAAAAAATTTAACTTATTTCACATGGTTAAATTTGAGGGGAAGTGTTTGAGTTGTGAGTTTTCTTGTTTTTGTTTGCTTTAGCATAACTATTGTCTTTGCTTTTGGGATATCTTGTTTTGGAGTTTTATTTATCTTTTTGATGTAGCACTTGATGCAACAATATTTAGATTGAATAAATTTTACATTCTTTCAAAAAAAAAGAAACTAACTGAAAACAGAAATAACTAAATTTAATCAACATTATCAGAGTTTCCACAAGTTTTAAACTGAAACCTAAAATACTGATTAAATTCAGCAGAATTTCAAAAAACTAAAATAAACAAACCAAATCGATGTGTTTTGTCCAATTCAGTGAGATGAGAGGATAACCAAACCGATTTAACGAAATTATCAAAAACCGGCAAGCCTATTTTAATTGTTGAACTAGATTTTGACCCGCGCTTGAAAGCGCGGAAATTTTTTATGATTAAAAATTTATATAATTGGGTTTTGTCTTAATTTAAATAATTTTTTCGTATAAAATCAATTCACCAAAGTTTGTGGTGATGATTATTTTTCATTAGTTTTTAGTTTCAGTTTTTAATTTTAGATTTTGTTTAAAAAGTTTGGTTTTTAGTTTTAAGTTTATATTTTTGATTTTCAGGTTTTGGTTTGAGTTTTTTTTTTTAATTTTTAGACCCGCTGAGTTAGTTTGAACTGATATTACCAACAAACAAATCTCAAATAATCAAACATCTAATTTAAAGCTGAAAATATGACAATTTTTTTTAAAAAAAATTTGCAATAGTTTATTTTGTAAATAAACAAAAGCAAAAAATATAACCTGCGTTTTCAACTTTTGGTTTGGATTTTAGTTTTTAGAGTTAGTTTTTGGTTTTGCCTTACATATTTTTTTTTTTAAATCTATAAATTATTTAAGAAAAATAAAACAATAAATTATTTAAAAGTTACCATTGAAATTTATCAAAAAAATATGATTTTTATTTAAAATAAAAAATACATTAACATGTTTTAAAGTACATAATTTAAATAAATGATTAATAATAGATAATTTTCTTTTGTTAAAAATATTAAATTTTGGGCCTGAAAATAATAATTGATTTTTTGATCTAGTAAGGTGAAAAGTTTATTCAATGTTTTTTGGAATTTTTCTTAATAATAAGCCCAAAAACCAAACCATATAATTTGTTTTAAAAACAAAAGAAAGCCCAAGACTATATCCCATAAATAACCACCGGTTTAATTTAAGTAATACGGTTCAATAAACTATATGCTTTGTATTATTTATAACACTCTATAAAGGTTCCAAAGTTAAATGACAACTTGTATTAGTAGATAAAAAGAAGGGAAAATTCCATATAAATACTCCAACTAAATTTTATTAAGCTTTTTAATACCCAAACTTTTTCGCTACCCAGTTTAATACCCCAACTAATTATTTTGCCCATTTTAATGCACAAACTTTTATAAATGTGCCCATTTTAATACCCAAATTTTGTTTATTTTAATTAGTAATACGAATAAGTTTCCAATAAAATTTTAAAAATTTCTAAACTTTACCAAAAAAATTGATTTTATTATATGTTAGAGAAATGAAATTAAATAATTTTTTTATAATCTTAAGTTTTGTAATAAGTTTTTTAAGTTTTATATATTGAATTTAGTTTGTTTTCTGAAATAAAAAAGTAAATTANTAGATTTGGAGATTTTTTTAAATTTTGTATGAAACTTATTAGTATTGTTAATTAAAATAAACAAAGTTTGGGTATTAAAATGGGCACAATTATAAAAGTTTGTATATTAAAGTGGGCAAAATTATTAGTTGAGGTATTAAATTGGGTAGTGAAAAAGTTTGGGTATTAAAAAGCTTAATAAAATTTAGTTGGGGTATTTGTATGGAATTTTCCCTAAAAAGAATGACTCTATTTTAATAGATTAGATTATAGTAATAGTTTGTGGGATAATTAAAGAAAATAATAATTATAGCAAACACTGAAAAAGAGATTATTGGGGGAAAGAAACAAATTGACATCCACCACCAAAGCTGTGTACCAATCTCTCTCTCTCTCTCTACCTCGCTGTGTTCTTACAGACACAACGAGGATGTCGGATCCTGATTTATCTTCTCCGTTGATCCATCAACCAGAGGTCGTCATCTCAATCCTCGACGACGACGGAGATGAAGAAAACTATATTCCCGCCGTTAGTCAACAAAACCACCACCAACCTCGTGTTCCACGTGCTTTTGAATTTGACCATATTAACCCTTTCGGCTTCCTCAGAGAAGCTTCCGAGCCTCCCGTTCTCGATCCTCCGACGACGGTGGATCCATTTCGGAACGATACGCCGGGAGTCAGCGGGCTCTACGAGGCCATTAAGATCGTGATTTGTCTCCCGATTGCGTTGCTTAGGCTCGTCATATTTGGTGCCAGCTTGGCTGTTGGTTACGTGGCGACGAAGCTGGCACTTGCGGGGTGGAAAGATAAACATAATCCGATGCCTCGTTGGAGATGTAGAGTCATGTGGGTTACTCGGATCTGTACAAGATGTATCCTCTTCTCCTTTGGGTGAGTTTAAAAATAGGAAACTTTAGTTATAACATGGTGAATGGTTTTAATAGGGTGTTTTATAGAGTTTTGCTCATCTCTGTAGTCCCTACAAGTTTTAATAATGTTCAAGAAATCGTTAGGCGGTAGTTAGACGTTTTTATAGATGATTAATGTTTGAACGCCTAGACCAAATTTTAAAACAATTGTTACGCCTAGGCACTGCCTAGACCCATTTTTAGAACACTGAGTTTAAAAAAAAAAACTTTAGTTGTGGGTTTAAGATGGTGAATGGTTTCAATGGTGATAGATAGTTTGTTTGATTAATTTGTTTATAGATTTATAGAGGTTCTTGTGTTGAATGATCGTCCTTGCTCTTTGCAGTTATCATTGGATACGAAGGAAAGGGAAACCTGCTCGGAGGGAGATTGCTCCTATTGTTGTATCAAACCATGTTTCTTTTATTGAACCAATCTTCTTCTTCTATGAGCTATCACCCACCATTGTTGCATCCGAGTCGCATGATTCACTTCCTTTTGTTGGAACTATCATCAGGGCAATGCAGGTAGGCAGCTAGATAGTCAGCACATATTTGGTGTAAGATGCTGGGGCCTCGTTTATACTAAAGTTTCCGTGTTTGAAATTTTTAGGTGATATATGTTAATAGATTCTCACAAGAATCAAGGAAGAACGCTGTGCATGAAATAAAGGTATAGAGTTTCTGTGGCTTGTCATTGATCTCTATAGTAATTTCTTAGATCGAGTAACTTTAATCAAACACATGTAAACCATTTGTGGTTGAAAAGGATTCAAATGGTTTTTTGTATTTGATACGCAATGTGCTTTCAAGGATGTAAATACAGAGAAAAGCCTCTTGCGATAGATTTCCTCGCCTGCTGTTATTCCCTGAAGGAACCACGACCAATGGGAAAGTTCTTATATCCTTCCAACTTGGTGCTTTCATCCCAGGCTACCCTATTCAACCTGTAGTAGTCCGGTATCCCCATGTCCATTTTGATCAATCCTGGTGAGTCTCTGTTTTGTCTGTATACACACTTTCTATTTCCTCCAAAAAGTACTGACGTTTATGATATTTCAGGGGGAATATTTCATTGTTGATGCTCATGTTTAGAATGTTCACCCAGTTTCACAACTTCATGGAGGTAGGCAATGTTTTTATCTAGTAACTTTAGCTCATTGATTGTATTATGTGTTAAATAATTTCGTTTATTTTTTGTGGATCTTTGGGGAATTTAACAGGTTGAATACCTTCCAGTAATCTATCCAAGTGACACTCAAAAACAGAATGCTGTGCGTCTCTCGCAGAAGGTGTGTGTTTGATGGGGATGTGGATTATTTTTCTGCACTTTTTCTTCTTCTTATGGTGGAAAATAGTACTCATTGTATACTTATGAACACAGACCAGTCATGCAATTGCAACATCTTTGAATGTCGTCCAAACATCTCATTCTTATGGGGACTTGATGCTATTGAACAGAGCATCTGAGTTAAAGCTGGTATGTGCAGCTCTCGAATAGCTTCATATGTTTTTTGGTTATGTATGCATTGGGCAGTTGCTACAAGTCATGTATTATTATTTTCCATGGAAACTTGAAAATAATATCTCTTCTCAAAAGCATTCATGTTGTTGATCATTTAGTTCATCTTAATTGTTTTTGTTGCAGGAAAACCCTTCAAATTACATGGTTGAAATGGCAAAAGTTGCGTCGGTAAGTTTATTCTCTAGTGCTACAAGTTTGATGCTTCTCATTCACGTAAAGGAAACACATATCTCTATATCTCATTTTTTATAATGTCATGTGTATATGCTCCATCAAGAAAAAATGTTTATTATAAATTTCTTCATTTTATCCCTACTGATTCTGTTACTTTGTCTTTGTTCCTTTCAGCTATTCCATATAAGCAGTTTAGAGGCAGTTCGGTATTTGGATACATTTTCTTCCATGAATCCGGACTCAAGGTAATGACTCTTGTCTTATTATAAGTTACTTCTTTTCTAAGTTACAATCTTCAACATTTTTGTCCTTTTTGCAGTGGACGTGTGACACTACATGACTTTCTTCGGGTTCTTAGACTGAAGCCTTGCACTCTTTCTAAGGGGGTGAGTTGTGAAATAATAAATTGTTTTCTTTGTGTACTAATAGTCCTATGCCTCCCTCCCAAAGTTACTTATACAAGTGTATATTGGTGTAGATATTCGGGTTCATCGATGTGGAGAAAGCGGGATCAATCACTTTCAGACAGGTACCTTCAGGGATCCCCTGTAATCATTTGTAGAGATTCTTAGTAAAATAGTCTCTTTAATCTCATCCTTATTCTTCTACTGAATTGTCTGCAGTTCTTGTTTGCCTCGGCTCATGTATCAGCACAGCCACTTTTTCAGCAAACATGCGAGCTAGCCTTTTCTCACTGTGACGCAGATGGAGACGGCTATATCTCCGTTCAAGAAGTAGATTTAGTTCTTCACCTCTTTCTCATCTTTGCTTTTGGTTTCTTATGACTTACTTTCTTCCCTTATCTTTGGCTCAGCTTGGAGACGCGCTGAAACACACAATGCCAAACTCAAACAAGGACGAGGTATGTGTATATAACACATCTCATCCATCCATGAATCCAAAGATGCATAGCTAAATGGTTGAGTTTCTCTCATGTTTCAGATTCAGAGGATATACGTTTTACTAGACGAAGACAAAGATCAAAGAATCAGCAAGGATGACTTCTTGTCCTGCTTAAGAAGAAACCCTCTGCTCATAGCTGTCTTTACTCCTATCTTGGCTCCAACATAACACAGACAGACAAAATGGATGGCCAAGATCTGGTGATTCTGTGCAATGATTCAACCATGCCTTTGTGGTGTATCAATATATATACCTTTTTGTTTTCCTTATTTCTTTTTCAGATTGTAAAAAAAAAAAGGAATACTAAAAGATAGGGGTTGCTATGTTTTTGGCCTATCCCCTCCTCCATGGATCCCCCCTCCCCCTCCCCCATCCAATGAGTTTTGGACTATAACTGCGTGCCGTTTTGTACCAAAAAAAACGCTGGTGTTTGCTCCTCTAGCTCTGAGTAAACTCTATCTGTATTTCAGTATTTGTTACCTTTTTGTATCATCCAAATTTCGATTGTATCAGTGGTTATTATTTTTTCTTGACTTATTTTATACAAACTCAAATTAAGTCATTAGTAATTTTAATTTTTTGACATTTATAAATCAAAATCTCTTAATGATATACTAGCTGCTTAGTGTAGCTCAGTCCAGGTGGGGAAAGCTGACGCAAGCATTGGTTTATATAAACTTTACAGCACGCTATGTGGTCCCCCTCCACAGGTGACGAGAATCTCCTCTACCCCACGTGCACGACATGTGTCGGTAGCTCAACTGGGAATTGCGCACTCTCTCCCCAATGGCCAATCGACTTATCTTTATTAACCTTCTTTATCCGACATTTAAAACTTTAATCACAACCCGTTGATCGATCACATACAGTATCTTTAATTATTTTACATTAAAGTTTTGATTGCACCCAAATTAGTTGTCCAAAGAAAAAGATTACACCCAAATTCCAAAAAAAAAAATTCAGAATAGTATCAAACCAAGCTTTTGTTCCTAAACTATCATTTAAGGTCCAAAGTCACAAAAATAAATTTCATTAAAAAATCATTTATCTTTATGTTCTTTCTTTTGAATAATTAAAAAAAAAAATAGAGATTCAAAAATAAATCTAATTGTCGGACCTCGCCATCGTCGTCTCCTCTACATCGCCATCTTCGTTTTGATAGTCACAAAGTTTTTGATGTCCGTCATCTCAGAACCTCTTCAACCAGCCAATCCCTCTTCACCTCTCCACATGTCTTACCTTAGAGACTCTGAATCTCAGCACTAATCTCATCTGGGGTCCGATCCCTGATCAGATATATGAGTTCGCTGCATTGAAAGTTCTTGACTTGAGTAGTAACCATGTGGAGGGTAAGATTCTAGAAAGTTAGGGTTACTAATCGATCTTGAAGTTATAAACTGGGGGAGTAATCTGTTAACTGGTCTTGTCCCTAATGTGATGGGAAGCTAAGTGAGCTTCTTGTTCTTGATTTTTCAGAAAATAGTTATTTAGTTAGTGAGATTCCTTCTTCTATTAGGAAACTAAATAAGCTTGAGGAGCTTCTCCTGCATAGGTCAGGCTTTCATGGAGAGATTCCCACTTATTTTGTGGGTTTGATGAGTTTGAAATTGTTGAACCTGTGTCTGAACAATCTGACCGGTGAGATCACTCGTTCCCTAGGGTCTTCTCTCAAGAACTTAGTGTCTTTTGATGTCTCTCAGGATAAGATCACTGGCTCTTTTCCTAGTGGTGTTTGCAGTGGCAATAGGCTTATTAGCCTCTCTCTCTCTCCATTCAAATTTGTATGAAGGATCATTGTCTAACTCTATTGGTGAATGTTTTAACTTGGAAAGGTTTCAAGTACAGGACAATGGTTTATCTGTTTCAATGGAGTTATGGTCATCATCAAAGATTAAGATTATGAGAGCTGGTAATAATAGATTTAGAGGTCAAGTTCCTGAGTTTGTCTCTTTGGCTTCTTCATTGGAGCAAGTTGAAATTGATAACAATTCATTTTCTGGTGAGATCCCACATGGACTTGGAGTTATCAAGAACTTATACAAGTTCTCTACTTCGGAGAATGGTTTTGAAGGAGGATTGCCACCAAATTTATGTGACTCACCGGTTGTCATCATTGTTAACATCTCTCACAATAATCTATCAGGGAAGATCCCAAAGCTCAAGAACTGCAAGAAGCTTGTCTCTTTGTCTCTTGCAAGGAATGCATTTAATGTTGGAATCAGTATTTTTTTTACAGTGTTTCTTTTTCGTATTGTGTTTCAGTCACAACAAAAACAAAAAAAAGTTAAGTATTTAGAGGATAACTGGTCTTGTATCCGGGTAATCTCGTTTTCATATTCGTTTTTGGAAATCCATCCTGAATGTGACAAATGATATCCTATTATGGATACTCATCCAAAAAATCCAAAGTTCTTTCCAACGCTTTTAATAAAAATTTATGGTTAACTATATTTATGTTTTGCCTTCTACCAGATGATTCTCCTCAGCTTAGCACCTAAACCACCTAACTTATGAAACAGAATTACTTGCCTCGACCCGCGTACGATTCCAAGGGTATTCGGACTCGTACTTTTTTTCTTTAATTGAAAAAATAAATGGATTATATTACTTCACTTACATCACTGATCAATATAAATCCATATGGCCTATTGGCCACATCTTCTTCCCTTTTTCCCAGACATCTTAGGTTCGAATCATGTTAGTTGTGTATATTTGTTCTTTTTTTTTTCAAAATTCCAAATTACAATTTGAAAATTTCCAAATATGCCGATAGCAACCCTTAGTTTTCGGTTTCATTTCATATTTTTTTTTTAGTTTAAGAAAGAAACACACTAATATTCAACTATTCTGGAAACCCATCTAGAAATTCTAAAGTTATTTCCAACGTTTGGAATACTCTTTTTATTTCTGGTAACCCATCTTGAAAGTGCCACATGTTAGCCTAGACATCCTGAAATTTCTTCAATAACAATCTTAATGATAAAAACGTTGTAGTGATCATTCATTACAAACTTCTACTTGTTCAAGTAACATCAAAGTTAAAAAAACATAGTATAAAACAGAACGAGTGTGACATTTTTACTTCATGTTACCTTCCTGGAAATCTTTATCCATAAACTGGTCGTAGATCTCACAACATAGTTGCTTCGTAAGTCCATCGCAGTATTATCATTTATATTGGCCATGCTCTTCAATCTCAATGACCTTCATTCCAGCATCTTGACAACAAAGATACCATAGTTGAATGGAAATTCTGTCTTTAGAAGCCCTTATGCATTTCTAACTTGAAATGGATCGATATCTTTGAAATTAACCTTTTCACTGAGAAGTTCCATCTTTATGGCCCGAATCAACACTGTCACAAATACTCAAAATTATACAACTGATTTTTATACAGTAAATGATAAAATTAATCAATCACAAATAGTTTTTACCTGCTAGTTTTTTTGATTTTAATAACGCCATCTTAGATATTTACTTCGGAAGGCCACAAGGAAAGAGTGTGATTGTGTTGTCCATCAAGCGTATCTCCACCCCAATAAAGTGAGAGTTCTTTCTATCATGACCGACACCATATATAACGGCAACAACTTCCAGCTGTATCTTCTTTGGAGGTATTAAACCTCTCACAACTTCGCCTACCCGACCCTCTAATAACTTTACTTTTCCCTTACTTGGCTTCTCTAGAGAATCATAATTCTACTCAACCATTTCTAAGAAATTGATTGGTGCAAAGCATGCTGTTGGAAGATTTTTGTTGCGGAACCAAACACCTTGCTCAACCCTCTTACAATTTAGGATTGCAAATGTAGCATCTGTGTGCTGCCAATGTAATAATATAGTTAGAAACTTCATAGAGAATTGCAATAACATACACATCTAGTATAGCTCAACTCAACCTCTTCCTGAACACATGACAGAATCAAATATCAACAAGCATTATTACCACTCAATAAGAATTGAAACAGAGTTTCTAAATATAAAACTTAATCACGACTACAAAAAATGCTTCCTGAAATTTTGAAAAATTTCAAACTATTATGGAAGGCTTTCCTAAAACTACATAAATGTTTTCTGAAAATTTTCTAAACACTAGACAGTTTCACAAGCACGAGAAACAAGAGACTAATAATAAAATTCAAGAGTCTATCAAAGATATCAACATGCCTAAGCAGAACAAAACACCAAGCAAAAAAAAAAGGATTCAAAATTTGTCACCATCCAAGTTTCTGGAAGGCTTTCTTGAAACTACACAAATGCTTGTAAAATCTAGATAGTTTCACAAGAACAAGCAACAAGATACTCATATGCAAATTCAAGAGTCTATCAAAGATATCAACATGCCTAAGCAGAACAAGACACCAAGCAAAAAAAAGTTTCAAAATTTGTTACTATCCGAGTTTCTGGAAGGCTTTCCTGAAACTACACAAATGCTTCCTGAAAACTTTATAAAATCTAGACAGTTTCACAAGCACAGACAACAAGAGACTCATAAGAAATTCAAGATCCTATCAAAGATATCATAAACTTTTTCATCCCACTATGAAACACTCCCAAGAAACTAGAGTAACAATAAAAGATTTTAGTTACATCTTTGTCCATCTTCATATTCATCAATCAGAGTATACCACTCTGGTCTTCTCTTGGAGTTACTCAGTATGTAATTCAGCTTAAGTTCTTCATTGCACAACGCTCTTGCAGCCACTAGAAAAGAGTCTTCAAAATATGAGCATCACCTAAAGCTACATTTGGAATGTAAGCTCGTATCCTCTTCTTTTACAAAGGGAAGTTAATTGTACGAGCAAACCATGAATTAGGATCCATATCTTTACCTGAGTGATTGAGAAAACCTTTTCTAAATATTTTAATTGTTATCATAAATATGATATATATATATATATATATATATATATATATATATATATATATATATATATATATATATATATATATATATATATATATATATGTAAGTTGCTTGGGATCCAGTTTGTGTCTCAGCCTGTAAAACACAAGAAAAATTATAAGAGATTCAGTAGATAAATAATAATACATTTTAAATATACTTTTTTACCTACTTAGTATTTTGATTTTCATTAAGAACTAGTGGAGACATTGGAAAGGTAGGTGCATAATCCACAACTTGTGTGTTAGGGAAAAGAACTTAAGTTATAATATGTGTCTCAGTCTGTAAGATAAGGAAAAAAATTGTAAGAATATTTAACTATTCTACGATACAAGTTTAAAAACAAATCAGTAAGGGATTCCTGAAAATGTAATAATGATACCTAAACCAAGGTATACCTTTGTTTCTGAATTGGAATTTTTATGTTTTTTTTAACTAGGTGTTTTCCTGCATAATGTGCAGTAGAGAATTTTTTAAATGTAATTTACATTTAAAAATAAATTTTATTAAATATTATAGATTGTACTATTTTCTTACTAATATTTAATATAGATATGATATATATTAAATCAATTTGTATAAAACTAATAAAAATGATATAAGATTGTATAATTATCAAAATTTAACCTAAACAATATTTATAAAATTTGTAAATATATAAGAAACTAATGATCTTACGATTAGATATTTAAAATTTTAAAAATTGTAGAAATTTTAAAGCTTTAGTAATACAAATTGTATAATTATACAAAAAAAATAATATTTTGAAATTTGAAATTTTACATATGAATATATTTACTTTATAGATGATGTATGAACTATTACCATATTTAAGAAATTTTACCAAAAAAAATATCAATGTTAAATGTAATATATGAATTATTACCATATTCTAATAAGTTTAAATCAAAATTAAATGAAATTGTCCATGTCATATTTTTACGGAAGCCATGTCATATTTATTTTGTGAAATTGATTGTAGAGAGGACATGTGGCAAAATCACTTCGCAAATATAGTCTAGAGGATTGAATAAAAATGTGTTTCACACTTTGTCTATACTTTTTAAGTGATTGTAGATGTCGGAAAATATCTACACGAGTTTGGACAAACCAACTCGTTTATGTAGATTAGGTTGTGGCCTCAGAAAGATTCTTCTTTTGTTGATGGGTTGCAGTTGTAACATTCCCAGCTTGATGCTATGGAGGTTGGAGCCTAGTTTTATTTAGTAGTTGAGATAATCAATGTGTTTTTTACTCTTGACAGGTACAAGATTTGGTGCCCAGATGGGAACAATTACTGGATTGCTAATGACATTTGATGAAATCTGTCGGTTGTGTGTTAAGGTTTGTTGTTTTGTTTCAGCTAAATTATTAGGGAAAGCTTTCCTATTTATGTACTAAACCTTCAAAAACAACTTGATTTTTGCGGGTTATTACTGATTCAACTAGAACTAGTTGTATCAAGAAAACTACTGATACATTTGCTTCTCATGCTCCTTTGAGTGATATTCCAGTTTTTGGTTCTACTGTGCAGAGAAATAAACAAGCACATCATTTCTAATTTTTTGTTTGTTTGTTTTGTATGATTTTCTTATGTTCTTAGACTATTCAGGATAAGTTTCCTGATCATGTACTAAACCTTTCAAAAAATTGAATCGTGCAGGTTATTACTGATTCAGCTAGCTGTAACAAGCAAACTACTCATACATTTGGTTCTCCTATTATATGTTGGAATTTTTTATTCATATGTGTTCTATTCTTTTTTATTTCAATGGTTTGTTGATGATTTACATTTTTATTGTTCAATTTCTTGATTTTTTTTTATTTTATGTTTACGTGATATCCACCAGATCACATATATATTAGTTTTTGGAAGCATATCTTGAATAAGATTTGGAAAGCTTTCTTAAAATTATAGAAATCTTTCTTAAAATTAAAAAAAAAAAACACTACACAGTTTCTAAGCACAAGCAAAAGACTAACAATGTCATAAGCAAATTCACGAGCCTACCAAATATATTAACATGTGTAAACGGTAAACCAAACATTATGACACCAAACAAAAAGTTTTTCAAATTTGTTAACATCAAATTTCTGGAAATTGAAAAAACACTACACAGTTACACAAACACAAGAAAAAAAAGACTAATAATGTGATAAGCAAATTCACGAGCCTACCAAAGATATCAACATGCGTAAGCCAAACAAGAAAACACCAAGCAAAAAGTTTTTCAAATTTGTTAACATCAAATTTTCTGAAAAACTTTCCTGAAACTACACAAATTTTTTCCTGAAATTTAAAAAACACTACACTGTTTCACTTAGTAAGTGAAGGTGTATGCTTACTCATTTTATTATTTGGAAACCTATCCTAAAAGTACCATAAGCTATAACACATTTTAACATTTTCTTGATATAATTACATAATGCTTCAATACATCCTGAAAGTTCTTCAATAACAATCTAA